GATCAGTCGTCTTCTCGGATGGGACCGGTTTGTATTTCTTCTCACAAACTCGTGCAATCGAGAAGGTTGCCCTGGCCAAGAAGTACGGACTGCACGGCATTGGACTACAAGCCGGCGACGGTTTCGTGCTGAACGATTTATACCCTTGGGACGCAGACTCCCTGTTTCACGGCATTGCTTCAACTCGCGGACGATCCCTCACCGAGTAATACTCAGCTATTTTTCTGAGGGATGCCTCTCAAGCTGGGCCTTTATCACATTTCACTTCAATGCCCAGTGGCGTCACTTATTACTTATTCATCACTTATTACGGAAGAAGTTCCCAGAAGTTTCACTTCTGGGGGATGTTAAGTTGGAGAGTAAGTCTTTACCAATCGTTTGTATACAGGCTACTGAAGAGTACCTGAAATCTTCTTCGGGTTAGAGGTTCGAAATCCTCTTCGAATTGTAGGTGGAGCCCCAGGCTCCACGATCACTTAAAATGGCTCAGTTCCTCCCAAGTGTGGCGATTTGACAAGTTCACTTGTCCCCGTTAGGTTACGAGCCCCAATAATGGCACTTTTGGAGGACTTGAGCTGTCAAGTGAGCATCATCGAAACCTGCCTACTGTTGTTGTTGTTGTTGTATATGTTGTTGTTGTATATGTTGTTGTATATGTTGTATATGTTGTTGTTGTATATGTTGCGTATGTTATTGTTATTGTTGATGTTGTATATGTTGCGTATGTTATTGTTAATGTTGTTGTTGTTGTTGTTGCTGTTGTTGTATATGTTGTTGTATATGTTGTTGTTGTTGTACTGGGGGCGATATAAACATGTGGGGAAATTTTGTATATTTTTTTCATCGAGAGTGGTTGTTGAAAATCGATCAATCGCTGAGTGTGACGGTCTTGGTTCCCGGAGAGTTAAAAGAGCAGTAGCGATGATAGGGTGTTGAACATGGAGGCTACTTGGTGTTATGTGGGGTAGTGAAGAAAATTCAAAAGTTGAATCGCATCACCTGTGCTCGCTTAGTTGGTTACGTGCTGTTAGTGTTGGAGTAGAAACGTATGTTTGCTTTCATCAGCTGCTGAGCTCAGATTTGTAGTAGTCTACATATGTATTCGAGTAGTAGCTTAGAGTAATCTCGATATTTTTATATTGTCATCAACATATGTAGTTGAGTAATCGCACCGTATTGGATTCACACAGTTTGAAAACATACGTATGCTTCTAGAATTGAATTTACATTTGAAGAGTTTCGAGGTTGAGGTTGTCCTTGGTAGATACGAGCACGGGGTGTTCGATGCGGATTACAAGGTTAAGGCAACATCCACTTACCGCTGGTAGGTTTACAACAGTCTGGGTGTAGCGGAGCGAAGTGATTTTTTTTTCATTTTTTACTTCCACTTCAATAGTCGCAACCTGCAAGTCATGTTCGTGACTTGACAGAGAACCTGAAATACGCCCCCTTTTGTATGTATCATCACCTCTCAGGACCCCATAGTGTTTGCGGAGGGGGGGGGGAACTCATTTTGAATTTTCCACGTTCTTCAACAATCAGTTTCCCACGTGAATGTCATGACATTAGGAACATTATTTTCCCCATTGTTATCAAATCGTGAGGAATGTTATTTCTCAAAGGGCGATGGGTGCCTGGTTGTGATGATGTTGTTATTGTCAGGGAGTTGGATTACCAAGCAAGTGTATCTTCTTATGTTTCGCGTCGTTCGTTATCGCCATCGAAAACAGTGTCGACAATAGCAAGCCCTCGTACTGTGTCGTCTGAGTATTGATAGAATGGTCATTGGCAACTGTTACTGGGTGGACTACGGAATATTCGTTTCTTCCTATGGTGATTTGGTGTAGTGGTTGAGTGGTCAATCGTGGCATCGAAGGGTTGTGGGTTCGATTCTTGGTAGTGGGCGGATTATATGTGTCGCCGACAATATGAAGATTTTGATAAAATTCTGGGAAATTCTCATTAGTTTCGCTGCAGATTCGTATAAAAGGTCCTTGTATTAGTAAGGAAACTCCTGAGCTCAGCAGGTGAGGAAAGCGATTACATATATTCCTACTCCAACACTGTATAGGAAACTCTTCTGAGCTCAGCAGGTGAGGAAAGCGATTACATATATTCCTACTCCAACACTGTATAGGAAACTCTTCTGAGCTCAGCTGAGGAAAGCGATTACATATATTCCTACTCCAACACTGTATAGGAAACTCTTCTGAGCTCAGCAGCTGAGGAAAGCGATTACATATATTCCTACTCCAACACTGTATAGGAAACTCTTCTGAGCTCAGCAGCTGAGGAAAGCGATTACATATATTCCTACTCCAACACTGTATAGGAAACTCTTCTGAGCTCAGCAGCTGAGGAAAGCGATCACATATATTCCTACTCCAACACTGTATAGGAAACTCTTCTGAGCTCAGCAGCTGAGGAAAGCGATTACATATATTCCTACTCCAACACTGTATAGGAAACTCTTCTGAGCTCAGCAGCTGAGGAAAGCGATTACATATATTCCTACTCCAACACTGTATAGGAAACTCTTCTGAGCTCAGCAGCTGAGGAAAGCGATCACATATATTCCTACTCCAACACTGTATAGGAAACTCTTCTGAGCTCAGCAGCTGAGGAAAGCGATCACATATATTCCTACTCCAACACTGTATAGGAAACTCTTCTGAGCTCAGCAGCTGAGGAAAGCGATTACATATATTCCTACTCCAACACTGTATAGGAAACTCTTCTGAGCTCAGCAGCTGAGGAAAGCGATTACATATATTCCTACTCCAACACTGTATAGGAAACTCTTCTGAGCTCAGCAGATGAGGAAAGCGATTACATATATTCCTACTCCAACAGTGATTTATATAGTTGTGGATTCTTCCTCATTATGTGTGTATCGATCTGCATTGGAGAAGGTCTCCCTCCCCCACCAGCCTGGAGCCGACAACTCCACGCCCCCAGTAAGCCGTATTTTAATACCATACATCGTTCACTTCGTAGTGGTTGTCTGTAATTGTTATTTTTATAAATAATATCTTGTGCGAAATATATACGTTAAACCGATGTATTCTTGTGGTAGTGGGTTCCGGAGGGAATATTCATTGGAGTTTCACGACTACCCGTTTTACGTGAAGTGGCGTAATAATACTCCGTGAAAAACCCGATATTCGCGGTGATATGCAGTAGTTGTGAAATATATTTTTCACTAGTGTTTCTTTCATATTACTAGGGTGAAATTTCATTGTGGTCTAACATGAAACGAGTCGACTTGGCTATATGTGTGTAGTATTTTTAATACAATGGAGTTTCACGACTACCCGTTTTACGTGAAGTGATGTTGTAAAACTCGCTGAAAAACGCGACATTCGCACTATGCAGTAGTCGTGAAATATGTTTTTCATATCACTGGGGTGGTGAAACTCCAATGATAGGTGTGAAGGTCTCGGCGGCGGTGGAGACAGAAGACTGTGTTGATGTAGATGAGGAATTGGAAGTAGGGGGTGTTGTTGTTATCAGTGGTGTTGAAGTAGGAATATATGTTTGCTTTCTTCAGCTGAGTGTAGGAATTTTCAAAGAAGTTACATACAAATTCGGGAGAATTTTCCTCAGAAATTCCCGTGAATGTGACCTACACATGTAGCTGACCATGCGCATATTTTCCCCCACCCTAGTTGTTGTTGTAGTATATGGTGAATAATTCTGAATCTAGAACTGCTCGTCGTGGGATGGAAATACTCTGTGTAGCAATGCCGTATGTGTAAGAGTTAATTCAACTTTGAGAAGCTCCTGTTAGATCCATGGAGAGGATTCAAGTACAGCAGTTGGCAGTATCAGCAGTAGTAAGATGAAGACAGGGTGAGTGTGTTGATGTGGTAGGATGTGGGAAAGGTGTGGTATCAGTTTGGACAGCGAGGAGGAAGAGGAGGCGTGTAGTGCGCCGAGACGGATGAGATTGAGGGTGTACGAAAATGATAAGGAGATTCGTATCGAAAGCGTGCCAGGTGAAATGGGAAGTTTTACTTGTTTTACGCGAAGTGGCGTGATAGTGAAAAATGTGATATGAAGTGACAACACTTGGTGAATTGCATCGGAGAAATCACGCGATTTCGCGTAACGTTTTTACGGATTATTCGCTTCATGCGTTTTTCGCGAAGTGAAATGTTAAATATGTTTTTTTCGCATATCACTAGGGTGAAACTCTAATATTAGATGCATCTGGTCCCTTCTTGAGACGAGCAGCATCAGAAAAAACTACTTCTCAACAGCATCAGCTCGGAGAATTGGGTAAGTTGAGACGACACGGTTTGCATATTCTTTTTGCATCAGTGCCACCACTAGCACCTCCGTCGCGACGAGCAGTTTCGGCGAGAGAGACGACGCCTGTTGGTGAGTTAGAAAATATACATATTAATGTGACGACGTGAAAATTTGGGGAATTTTTTGATGGTTTTTGTACACTTTTTGGGGCTGATGTGTTCCTTTGACCGACAGTTTGCCGCGAAGTAAATTGTTAAATGAGTTTTTCATTGGTGTTTTTTAGTATATTATGTGTGAAACTCCAATGTAACTCCAAAAGTATTAATATACTCCTATATGAAGTATACTACTACGCGTAGTGAAATGTGAGCTGTGGTGAGCACGCGTAGTAGTATGAATTCGTATATTGGAGTTTCACCCTGGTGATACGAAAAGTATATTTCACGACTAATGCATATCACCGCGAATATCGCGTTTTTCACCGAGTTTTACGACGCCACTTTACGTAAACCTCCATTAATGTACTACTACTAGTATTATTTATATATTATAATGGAGTTTCACCACCCTAGTGATATGAAAAACATATTTCACGACTACTGCAAGGGGCAAATATCGCGTTTTTCACCGAGTTTTACGCCATTCCACGTTAAACGGGTGAAACTCCAATATTACTTCACACATTACCTTTTTGATGAGGTCGTGGGTGTAATATTTCATCGTCACCGCTGGATAGAGAGGCCCATGTAAGTAAGGTCATGTCCAACATTAATCGGTTGCTGGACAGCGGAGAGGTGGGCTGGCGTTGAGGAAATGCAAGATTTGGTAAGATTTGGCAAGATTTAGGTATTTGTTGCGGAAGAATTGGGAAGGAGACTGTTGGCTTCTTCGAGTGAAAGAGTAATTTTGTTGGGGGGAATTTCGTGGCGCGTGACGGTAATTGACGATGACAGATTTGCAAACATGCAGTGTTTGATCGGCTTGGGGCTGCTACGGATGAGGTGGATAATTTACTGTTGAAATTGAGTGATGATAGAGGGTATGAATTGAGGGGGAGGAGGGAGGAAGGGAAGGCGAATGTTTGGTGAGTGGGATGGGAATGGGCATGTTGCAGGTAGCGCGCGCCCAGATGATCGATTATGTATGGAAGTGAGTTGAAGTGTTGAAGGAAGATAGTAGTAGTTTTCTCGCTTTACAACAGAATTTTTCCAAAACTTCCTTGAGAATTTTCACACGCTCACCAATAATGTGGGGGGAAAATGAAAATTCTGAGGAAATTTGGTGAGATTTTTATTGGCCATTGTTCATTTCTACCCCGATTATTAGGACCAGCGAGGAATTTCTTGAGAAGAAAGTGAACATATATTCGAACACTGTTTACCAACCCATGTAGTTGATGATGTGCATATTTTTTTCTATAGGGTCAAACCATGTCGTGGGAGGAGTTTGAAAACGAGGCTGTCATGTCTGTTACATTCCGACCTCCTCACTACATGTATAGCAATTGATGAAATCGCGTTCCCCTCCAGAGCGGAGGTGTTGACAGTTGAGGTGAAGGGGGGCAGTGTTGGAGTAGAAATGATATATGCTCGATTTCATCAGCTGAGTTTAAGGAGCTTCCCCAATAATTATGGGGAGAAGTAGACACAAACCAAAAAGAACTTCCGAAATTCACTGCAAATCAGCGACACATGTAGTTGACCATGTGCTTATTCCCCTACCACCGAGCGGAGCGCTATGTTGCGTTTACTGTGTTCAGGAGACAACACCGTTTTCTTCAATTGTGAGAGCGTCGGTGAAGATGAAGTTGACTATGAGAAGGAGGGAAGTTGTGGTGAGGAAAAGATGGTAAGAGGCTGGTCGTGGAGGGAGGGGAGGATACTTGTATAGAGATATATGATTTGAATTTTTGGACGCTTTCATCTTGTGACGCTGAAAAGGAGGAAATTGCTGACCCCGTTAATACCGTATGATCGTTTCATATCGATGTAGGATAGCCCAGGACTATGTCTATTCGTCTGGGAAGAAAATATTATAAAACATGATTGTTAAATAATCTCAAGTTTTCATTGAGTTTTATTCTGACGGGTTCTGAGTTTCAGGTTTGTGAATGAACAGGAAGGGTTCGCCGTGGTCCACTTGAGGAGTATAATTGATAAGGTTGGAGTTGACTCGCGAACGCCACAGATGAATCTGGTAAGTTAACGGCCATTGGACGTGTCGGCTGAGGGTGCTTTTCAGGAGGAT